CTTTGGCTTCCCTATCAAGGGCAGGTTTGGTGGCTTCTGCTACAAGGAGAGATAAGGAGTCGGGAGGTCTCCTTCTTGGCCAGAGGATGTTTCCAGCCTGACGGTGCCTGGTGTTGGGCATTTCCCAGGGCTGTTTTGGGGGTGACTGGGGGGAGGCGGGATGGGGGGGAGGCTTTTTTTAATTTTATTTTGTTTCCTTCCTTTATATTTTCCACATCTTGCTGAGCAGCTGGCACGTGCAGCTGCTCGGGGCGGCTGCTGGCTGGGGGCGCGGGGGGACGGCGGGGTGCGTGAAGATGATCCCCATGGGCTGCTGCCACCTCACTTGGCCCCTGCCACCCTGTGGGTGGTGGCCCTTTCCTGAGGTGGCAGAATGTCATGGACACCCGCTTGCCCTTTCAGGCTGGTCCTGCCCCTGAGCTTGCAGGGTGGGAGCGAGGCAAGGTTGGATTTGGCCAGAGGCAGAGAGCGGGTGTCTGCGTTGCATCCCAACCCCTCTTCCAGCCCCATCCCTGTCCCACTGAAGGATGCCGTTGTGCCTGTCCCTGCAGGAGCACCAGTGCCTTATCTCCATGCACCCATTGCCCGGACTCCACTTGAACTCTGGTGCCTTCTTCTTCGAGCATTTGGTTATGAAAAGATGTATTTTCCTGGACCTCTTCTAATAAATCGGTGGAGAAAGCCCTGGAGCGATGTGGCTGTGTCCCCATCTCTGTGCCAGCACAAGAGAGGGGTCTACCATGGAGAGAGGATTTGGGGATCCCTGGCTGGACACCTGGGACTGTCTCATCCTTGGCTGAGCATCATCTCATCGCCGCTGGCTCAGCCCTGCACCCGCTTGAGCTCCTGCAAGGGTCTTGTGCTCCCTCATTAATGAGTGTTAATTAACCCCCTGGGTGTCAGAACTGAAAGGTGGAGGGTGAAGCAGTTCCTGCTGGCGATGAGTTTTAGGTGGGTTTTAGGTGAGAGCTGAACAGGGGAGGCAATGTCCGACCCCAGGGTCCTTCTTTGCTTG